CACTTCTAATATTTAACACAATACTTTACACACATACGAGCGCATTCCTTTCTTTAAAAAAGAAAAACAGTTTTATTGAGGTATAATTTGCATACCATGAAATTCACCCATTTTAAGTGTACAGTACATTCAACGTTTTGTATGACCATCACTGCAATTAGTTTGACATTTCCATCATCCCCCTGCAAAAAAAAAATCTTTCCTTCTTTTTTAAAAACAGACTCTGCATTAAAGATGTATAACTAAATAAACAGTAGGCATTTTGTTAGTGTTGTAAACCAAATATTCTTGAAAAACAAACATCAACACAGGTATGTACTTTAGTGTCTTCTTATGAATATTCTTAAACTTGGATGTTACTGAATACTCTTTGCCATTTCTTCTTTGATCAATATTTTGTCTAATATGAAAACCTCCCGTCTCTCCTTTTTTTTTTCTTTTTTTTTTTTTAAGAGAACGTAGTAATATTAGGGAGAAAGTTCTAACCCAACTCAAATAGCTAATCGCCAAATCAAGGAAATATATTGCCAAATAAACACAGGACTTCACTTTGTTTTAAATCCCTTTCTTTTCTGGGTGGCCTTTTGACTTTCCCTCTGCATGTTTGCAGAACAGCAAAATTACTTAGCTACTGGACTGTTCATGTTTATTCTTACAACTTAATATTTTCTGCCATTTCCTCCCCTTTCATCTTTTATTATCTTTCTTTTCCTCTTATTTGCTAGGAACCAATTTTTTTCTCTATGTATAACTTCTAGTCATTTCAAGTTATTATAGTAGTAACCACTAGTGGAAGGTACAGCTGGTCAACTGTAGGCTTCCCTTTAATGAATTTAACAGACATAAGGCCCCTGATTGAAGCAGATGGTTCATTGTTTATAATCTCTAGGAAATGCCAGTGTGACTGTGAGCAGGACCATATCCTTAATACCAACTTAAGAATTTTGATCAGAACAGCTGGGTTTGAATTGAATTGAGATTTTCAAGAGCACCCAAGTCCTTCCTATCTAATACATTAGCTTGTTGAGAAGACACCCTACCATTTGAATATGGTCTTTCATTACATCTGCCAGCTATGGAAATGATGCTCTCAATTAAGACTGTCTTAGCAAATATCTTGCAGATGAAGGGCTTAGTAGTGCATTAGAATGACATGCTGACCCTTTACTACCAGGTATCTATATTGGAATTATAGAAAGAAGAGTTTATTTGGAAAGCTCAAAAACAGCTTTAATTAATTTCCTTCAACATGTTGGCATTGTCATGTAACTTGTCTTAAGACATCTGCACTTAGAAAAGCTAGAAAAATAAATGAAAATAATTTGTACCAG